TTAGATGTCGAGAGCTATGAAGACTTTTTATCACCACTCTTCTTAGTGTGCCAACACTCCGATTTCACATGCCCCCTTTTACCACAGTTGTAGTATTTGATATTTTCTTACTTCTTAATTTTGATCTACAATGGGTATGACTCCCACTAGGGCCACATTTTGTTGATCTTCCTCTTGTCACTTAGAAGGCCTCCGCTTATTGCAAACTTGCATACATGTCTTCCTTATTCTTGTGCTGATTTTCTTCCTCTAGAACGACAGCTACAATATCGTCAAAGACTAAATAGTCTGTAATGACGTTATTTATTAGATTGATGATGAGTTGATCATATGAGTCAAATAGACTTTAAAGTAGAAGTTCTACACGTTCATTTACACTGATTATATGCCCCAACGTTGTGAGTTGAGAGAATAATATGTTTAAGGTGTTGATGTGATCGATCATCGATGTAGATTCCGTCATTCTTAGAGTGTGAAGTCTCTTTTTTAAGAAGATTTTGTTATGCAAGAATTTGGCCTCATATAACTTTGTTAGAGTATCCTAGATCTCATTTGTTGTTTTTCCTCCTCTATGCTTGATAGCACCCCATCTCCTGATGCTAGATAGAGATTTACAGTAGCATTTCCATTCATCTCGCTCCACTTGTTGTCATATGTGATATCTTTCAGCCTTCCACAGATGGCCGCTATATAGTTATCTTTTTTCAAATAGCCTTTATCTTCAACTTCTGCAGTGAGAAATTACTCTCGTTGAATTTCTCAATCTCGAACTTCGCCGTAATTGCTTCTATCACGAACGGTAACTTCTATTATTCCACGTAAACAGTAACCGTACTTGCGAACAGTAACCATACTCATAAATAGTAAGTGTACTTATAAATAGTATCATAATCGTAAACAGTGCTGTACTTATAAATAGTATCATAATCGTAAACAGTGCCCAATGCACTCAAATGGTAACTGATAATCTAGCTTATTTTTTTATGTGGGGATCTACTTTTGATGGCAGCCACAAAGCATATAATAAGCAGATACACGCACCCTAAGCCAGACTCTGATACCACTTATTGGAAAAAATAGGGCCCGATAGAGCAGGGTCACAACGAATATTAGTGTGAAAATAATAAAATTGAACATAGATTTTTACGTGAAAACCCCCTAAATGAATTTGGGCTAAAAACCACGGGCAAGAATAGAAGAATGCACTATGAAAAAATTTTAGGAGTTACAATCTCTCTTTATAATGAGAAGCACTCTTTCTCCTGCTTGCTAACGAGATGATCTCAAATTAAGGCTAGGGAGGACTATACAGAGGTGATTTTATGGTAGGTGTGTACTGTTGCTACAGTGTTGCTACAGTAACAGCTTGTGAGTCTATGTTCGATAATTACTGTTTGTGAGTCTATGGTCGATAATTACTGTGGCTGGTGGAAGGTTGCCGTTAACATGGTGGCTGTTACTTTTCAACACCATGTCTATTAGAGGGGTTTGAAAGCATTGCTCGTGCGCAAGCCCCTCGACGGGGCTATGAGTTCTCCGACTATTCGTGGAAGAACCGGGAAGATCCTAGACTTTGGACTCGTATGGAAACAATTTAGTAGTTGCACGGTTATGCCAAGCACTGGAATTTGTGGAGACTCATACGGTTGGACTCTGCTGACGATTTTATTTATTTATTTATTTATATGTAGTTCTTTTTATAAGTAACAAAAGTAAAGCTCAAAGTGCATGTACATAGATAACAAAAGATTACATATATAGCCACATGTATGAAGCTGAACTATCTGGAGGAGAAAAAAGGCCAGACAGCTTATCAAAAGTTTTCCTTTTCCTCCTTTTCACAATAAATAAAAAAATATTTTCTCTAAAAAATAACTGCCTGACAACAGTAAAATTTTACCCATTTATACATAATCCCCCATAACTTGGCTCCGTTTGAATATCATGGTGTTTTACTTGATTTCATGGTGTTTTTTGCCAACAAAAAAAAAACACCATGTGTTTGAATACCATAATGTTTTTTAAGCTAAATCATCCTCAAACCAAAACACAACACTTGTTGCAAAACTCCTTTTAGATATTTTAAGTTTGGTGTTTTAGTTTTGAGTTTGAGAAGGTGTTAATATAATATCTAACATAATATATTAAATGTAATTAATATATAGTTATTATCAATATATTTATTATATTATACTATAGTATATTATAGTTAATCTAATATATTAATACATTATTAAATAATATAAATATATAATAATTAAAATATCTTATACAATAATATAATAATATAAAATTATATATTCATAATATAATAATATTAATTTATACCATAAATTTTAAAGTATTATTAATAAACTCTAAAATATTAGAACTATAATATTATATAATATTAAAATATTTATAATATATAATTTATAATAATATAATATGAATAATAATATTAACATTATTAATAATATTATATTATATAATAGTATAATATTATTTTAATTATTGTATAATATTATATTTATAATTAAATAATATTATTTTAAAAAATATTAATAATATATAACAATAACAAATTGATATACCAAATAATTAATATCTTATTTTAAAAATAATATGTAATAATTATAAATAATAATAATTATAAAATATATAATTCATTAAAGTACAATATAAAATTATTAATATATTATACACTAAATATTTTTTATATTATAAAGCAAAATAATTTTGAATACTAAAATAATTATTCCTAACAAATTTTAATGTAAAAATAATATGTCATAATATCAATAATATTGATTATATCCATAAATTATTAAAGTATTATTAATAAGCTCTAAACTAAATATATTATATATATTAAAATATTTGTAAATATATGAACTTATTAATAATGTAGTAGTAATAACATAATATTAACATTATTTAATAAATATTATATTATATTAATAATAGTATACTATTATATTAATAATAGTTTAATATTATATAATAATAATAAAATTATTTTAAAAATATTATATATTAATAAATAATATTTTAAAAATATTATATATAATATACAACAATAACAAATTGATATACCAAAATAATTAAATATGTAATTTTTTAAAAATAATATAATATAATTATAATATAATATAATATAACTCATTAAAGTATAATATAATATTATAAAGTATTATATAATATTATATTATATTATATTTAATATTTATAATAATATAATAATATAAACTAAATATTATAATATTTTATTTATAATATATTTTATTATAATTATGTATAACATATTAATAATATGTTTAATACTAATGTTGTAATAGGTCAAACTAATATTGAACAAAAACGTGTTTTAAAAACACTTAAGGAAAAACACAATAACGAAAACACCACGAAGTCTTAATAATCCAAGTTGAAAGTCCTGAAATCACTGAGACCCTCAGTCCGACAAAAATCTTCGCGTTAACACCCCTCTAATCGCACGTTTCCCTCAACTAATTAACTATCCACAATATCTCAAGAGAACGACGACAACAGCAATCCACGACAAGCAGATTAAAATTATCAAAGCGACATCAACTGCAGATCGCTCTGTCCTCCGGCCCACACAAACGCGAGACAAAGCCGCTTAAAAGCCGAGGACAGCCCCTCCTTCATCACCCCCTATTTGATTTGATTTACTCTTGAGTATTAATGAAAGCAAAGCCGTAGTCTCCTCCTTCACCATCACCCAATCCGTAGATCCTCAACGTTTGCCCAGCCTGCAACGCATTGTTCTTCATGAACCTACCCCAGTCACTGCCGTTGAACCGATACCTACAATTACTGTCGATGAACTTGAAGAAAACATTGTACTCTCTCCCCCTCTTATCCATCACCGTCACGTCCTGCGAAGCCTTCGAATGTGATCGTATTGCAAGCTTCAGCAGCGGCATCGACCGATCAAAGTCGTCTTTGCCGATCTCTAACCTGTTCTGGTTTTTCTTTGCGTCTGTTACAGTCACCCTTTTCTTCAGACAAAACTTTGGCTCCGATAGACCTCTTTGAGCCGCTACCTGTCTCCATAGCCCCGTCTTGACTACCGGATGTTTCTCGTGTTGTTGATTTTGTGAAGAAGGAGATGACGATGATGATTCCGTCAACCGAATCTTTCTCCTCTCCTCGTCCTCCTCCGCCTCTTTATCATCGTCGGTCATCGAAATATAACAATGTGGCCTTAAAGGATGATTTTCTTCTTCTCGTTGTTGTCGACCTGAAGGAGATGATAACCCTTTTATCAACTGAACCTCTCTCTTCCTTTTCTCCTTCTCCTTCTGATCAGTGATCGGAGCATTTATTAAGTACGCAGGTGCTTCTTCTTCGACTCTTGTCTCCATTGTGTTGTCGCCGCCCTCGACTCTTCTTCGTCGTGGTAGAACTTCTTCTTACATCAACTCCATCTCCTTGATTTTCGTGAAACGGAGAGTTGATTGGAACCAAGGATAGAAGAGAACTTCTCTCTCACGAGCTACTAGCAGCCTGGTTTTCATGGGGTTTCTACATATTTAGAGGCCAAGGTTTCCTCAGTTAAGAAGGAATCCTAGTCAGAAGAACTCCTACCAGGCGAGGTTCCCAAAACAACTGTACGTGGAGCATAAAATCCTCTAAGATAAATAGCCATCAAGATTTTCAAGTTCCGTATCAAAATCTCCGCCATCAGAAGAACTCCTACCAGGCGAGGTTCCCAAAACTTTGAACTTTGATCCTCGTCGGGGGATGATAAAAGCAAACAGCAGTTGGGGAAATCCCTCAAAAAAATTTCCCCTCGTTCTTCGGGACAAGCACAAACTAACATTGTATAAGCTCAGGAATGTTTTGTATTGACTTATACAATTATGATTTTTACAATTTAAAGTTTTGTTTATAGTTTTATCTTCTTATCATTTCGCTGGGGAAGAAAATTTGACTCCCAAACTTAAAAGAGAAACCTCAGTTGAAAATAAAAGCTGATAAATACAAATAGAATATATTTCAGGTCAAAAAGAATAGCATTCAATTATGTTCAGCAAACGGAACTGGTGTCTTATAATACAGATCCTGTCATCGCACATATAATACTTTTTTTTTCCTTTTTCCAAGTCCAGCTGAATCTCGAGGTACATAAAACTAGTACTAATATTATTGACATGAGGAACATGAGCATGTAATATACACTATGACCTTATTGTGTGGAAGCTGAGATCCCAAGATGCACCGCTTCCTCCTTAACCAGAAAACAAATATTTATGTTTTATTCCTTTGCCCATTCAGTAAAAGTAATACGGCCAAATTTTTAAACCGAGTAGAGATAGAACTGATGCACACTTAGAAGATGAAAACAACACTGTCGTGGACTCTCGACTTCTGATTTTGTGCCACGCATTCTGATATCCACATCAGGTTCCTAATCTCTTGCTCCCTCAATCTCATATACGCAAAGAAAACAGCATAGTGGAACTGCAGCAAATATTAATATGAAATATAAGAAAGCGGATAGGATGTAATAAATCATTGTTGACATAGTAAAAACATCACTAAATAGTTGAGGAAGCTAAATGTAAAGACATGCGATAAGTATAAACAAAAGCTGAAACAGAATTTCCTAAAGCGATATGATCAAAGCTGAACAGAAGAAACTTAAACTATGAAGCCTAGTAAAAAAAGAAATTTAAAAAAATCAGTAGAAGATATTTCCTAAAGCGACATGATCAAAGCTGAACAGAAGAAACTTAAACTATGAAGCCTAGTAAAAAAAGAAATTTAAAAAAATCAGTAGCAGACATTCAGTAATGACTTGTTAACCCTCGCAATACTAAAAACAGAGAAGCGGAATAGCCATCAAAAACTGTCTTTTTGTCAAACAATAGAAAGAATTTGGTTCTGGAGGACTCTAGACAACTGGAGCGAGAGCTACTTTAACCATCAAACATCAACAGAGAGAAACAACTTCATGAGTGAAGCAGTCACAGATTAATCGTAAAACTTTATCACATGCAAATAAGATCATTCTCCTCCAAGCCTTTTCTAATTAAAATAGGGTCAGCTATGGATCAAAACCCCATAATAGATTTGACAAAATTTTAAAGCAGTTGCTAACCAGAAAACCGTCCCTCGGTGCCATATCTCAGTAAAGAAATTATGCATCTAAAGATTATAGTTAGCAAACTCAATCCACATTTAACATGTAAAGATGTAAATAATTGATCGTGTGTCAGTCAAACTGTACCTGCTGTTCAAAAGCCAAACAAAGCCTCTTCACCTCCTCTTCATAGAATGCTTTGTCCAGCATCTGACTTTCACCATAAGACAGTTTCGCAAAGATTGCCTGATATGGAGGATATTTCTCCATAACACCTCGAACCTGCAAAAATCATGCAACAATAATGTCAATAGAAAGAAACCACAGCATAAACTATAGCCCACAAGCATTTTTCTACCGAGAACTCAATAACAATAAACCAGTCAACATCTACCAACATAATCACTCGGCAATTCAAGCATAAAATATAAAACACAAGTATTTTTCTACGACAACTAGTTTTTAAATAGCTGATGGAGTCACCTAGGTGAAAACATGAATATTTAAGCAACGTGTTGTGCAAACCATAGCTCTGCAGCTGATGCAGTAAAACAGCCAAAGGAAGATACATAATAGTATGCACCCATCCCAAAATTTCTTTCACAACTAATCTCTTCCATGTAAAACACGCTTTACTTCTTTAGGGTGAAGGTGCCAAACTTTTGGCAAACTAAATTAGCAAGCATCAACCACACATGCATCACATAAGTTGAAAACTACTAATTTATTGTGCACTCAACAATATGTTGAACAAAATAATCTGGTAGAAAGACATAAAACAGCCCTTAATAAAAAGAAATCCCCTTAAAGTTTTCCTAAAGAATAGTAATCACTAGACATCTAGGTACAGTCAATCATAATTCAGCCATGTTTACCCACCAACTCCCCTGAGAAGCCAACTATATAATACAACAGCCACTTATGATTTCCAGTAAAAATATTTTTTGCAAAACTAATTAAACAGTAGATAAAAGTGATTGTGTTGGTCAATCCCTCGCTCTGAGTGCAGCTTATGCAGCAAAGGCAGACGGACAGTGATATATATGTGCATCACACAATTTGTGTGCCATGACATTAACCTTTCCCATAGAATACCACGCCACCCCATTTCTTTTGGGGCAAGCACTCGGTCTTGGGTATATTAAATTTGCAAGAACAAACTGATCATACATCGCATGAATTCTAAAACTCTTGCGCTATTGTTCATTCAACAAGATGTCTAACAATAAAATCGGATCTCTCTCTCTACACACACACACACACACACACATATATATATATATATAGAGCAAGAGAGATGAGCTTATGTCAACTAAAGTGGATAGCAAAGCCTTTGTCCACCAAACTTTTTACCCACTCATATATATATATATATATATATATATATATATATATATATATATATATATATATATATTATATATATATATATATATATATATATATAGTAATCAACTCTAAATAGAAAGAATATCCCTGCAGAAATAGGTTTCTTTGGGGAATAATAACCCTAAATATTCAGGCACAGGTCAAAATGAGTTAGCCCACTAAATCTGTGGTAAACCGTATAAAATAGTCTCAAAATTTTATCAAAACAACTACTGAAGGTTTAGTTTAACCAGGAAGATAAAAGTAATAACGATGGCAATCCCATCAAGACTGCAGCACTTATGCAGTAAAATGTAGAAGGTGTAACCAGATATTGATACATATCCATCACAAAATCATTGTGCCGCAAGGCCCACAACATTAAACTCTCATGTGAAATACTGGCTATATTTTAAGAGGGGAACCTCAGGCATACTAGTTCTCCAAGCATCAACTGGTCATACATCGCATTGATCAAAATCTAAAACTCTTTAACAATAAGACGATGTTTAACAAAATGTTCAGATATCACATGATAGAAAAAACAACTCAAGGAAAAGATAATACTCTATATAGAGCTCCTCAGGAATAATAACCACTGACAACTCAAAAACATGCCAAGCTTAAACCAGACAAGTTTAACCATGAATCCTGCTAATTCAACAATATAGTATACCCTTGATTACTCAACAGTTTTCTTTGTGAAAAAGAAATAATACTTTTAAAGTATTATCTGAATGATTTAGCATAACAAGGACAACAAATGTGACAATGTTGGCAAATCCCTCGCTTTAACTGCATCTTATGCAGCAATGCGGAGTAAGGTAGCCGGACTTTGATATATAGTATACCCTTGATTACTCAACAGTTTTCTTTGTGAAAAAGAAATAATACTTTTAAAGTATTATCTGAATGATTTAGCATAACAAGGACAACAAATGTGACAATGTTGGCAAATCCCTCGCTTTAACTGCATCTTATGCAGCAATGCGGAGTAAGGTAGCCAGACTTTGATATATGCCCATCACACAATCTGTGTGCCACGAATTAACCTCTCCCGTGGAATACCACGCCACCCCATTTCTTTTGGGGGAAGCGCTCGGCCTTGGGCATATTAAATGCATCGACTGGTAATGCATTGGATGAACCAAAAACTCCTAAACTACTGTTTATTTAACAAAATGTTTAACATAATTAGAAATTCCAAAAAGATAGAACACTCTTAACAGAAAGATCATCTCCTACAAAAATAAATAAATAAATAAAAATTTTAAAATTTTTGAGTAATAGCCCCTGGATAGTCAGGAACAGGCCAAAATGAATTAGCCAAGTAAACCACTAAATCCTCAGTGAACCATATAAAATATAGTCCCAGTTAACTACGAATTTTCTAAATGAAAAATAATTTTTCAAAATTACTAAACAGTTTAGTTTAATCGGTGTTGGCAAGTGGCAACCCCTTCAAGACTGCAGATTGTGCAGAAAAATGGTAAAAGAAACTAGATCTTGACTCCATCCCCAATCACAAAAATTGTGTGCCACGACATAAAACTCTCATGTCAAATACCCCCTATTTCTTTTCTTTTTTTTCTTTTTCTTTTTCTTCTCTTTTCCTTTTTTTTTTTTGGGTTTTTTTTGGGGGTGGGGAGGGGGGGGCAGCTTGGGCATATTAGTTTTCCAATTATCAACTGGCCATGCATTGCATTAATCAAAAACACCTTAACAACAATATGATGTTTAACAAAATGTTGTACTGTTGAGTCAATAATTTGTTACTTTAACAGTTTTCCTTTTTTTATACAATAATTCCTGAATGACTGTGTAAAAAGGGAGATAAAAGTGACAATGTTGGCAAATCCCTCGCTTTGACTGCAGCTAATGCAGCCCAGCGGCCTAAGGTAGCCCAACTTTGATATGTGCCCATCACACAATGTGTGCCACGAAATAAACCTCCCCCGTGGAATACCACACCACCCCATTTCTCTAGGGCGAAGCGCTCGGCCTTGGGCATGTTAGGCTTAAGTAACATCAAGCATAAAAATAATATTGTACTGTTGAGTCAATAATTTGTTACTTAACAGTTTTCCTTTTTTTTCCTTTTTTATACAATAATTCCTGAATGACTGTGTAAAAAGGGAGATAAAAGTGACAATGTTGGCAAATCCCTCGCTTTGACTGCAGCTAATGCAGCCCAGCGGCCTAAGGTAGCCCAACTTTGATATGTGCCCATCACACAATGTGTGCCACGAAATAAACCTCCCCCGTGGAATACCACGCCACCCCATTTCTCTAGGGCGAAGCGCTCGGCCTTGGGCATGTTAGGCTTAAGTAACATCATGCATAAAAATAATATTTTTTTATATTCGATAAAACATCAAGGCGATCATAAGAAATTACAATAAACGTGATGATGTTGGCAAATCCCTCGCTTTGACTGCAGCTTATGCAGGCTGCAGAAAAGCGGCCTAAAGGTAGCCAGATTTTGATGTGCCCACCACACAATTTGTGTGCCACGACATTAACCTCTCCCGTGGAATACCACGCCACCCCATTTCTCTAGGGGGATGCGCTCAGCCTAGGGCACGTTAGGCTTAGGTAACATCAAATACAAAAAATCAGCATTTTGTGGCATTCGACAAAATGTCATAGGGATCATAAGAATTTATATGGAAGACACCATAAAAAATTACATCCAAAACCTTGATTTAAGGATATACATAACAGGAAAAAGATCGTCTGACTCACAAGCACATAAAAGAAAATGACTATCAGCTTTGGCATCAGTCCACCAACAAGTGTCAAAGACATCAGCCACTAAAGCCACAAGAGGCAAAAGTACAAATAATAATAATAATAATAATAATAAACAAAAAAGACAAGCAAAATCATTCCAACGTAATACATTTGATTATTCATTCTGAATGCACTCAATTTCCATTTAGGAATGAAATGGGAACCACTGCAAGGCCTACATTTACCCTTATCACAAAATATCAGTGAAGAAACTATGGTCAGTTCAACTTAAAACGGAAACCATTTAATAGAATATTTTGTAGCAAGCAAATTTAGCCAAGAGCAATACACGGCAAATTTTCAAGGGAACTTCCAGAAATAATCATCTAAATGTTAAATCTAATTATGATAAAAAGAACAATCACCCAAATGAATGACAAGCTGCTAATATTTCCTTCAGGGTGAACTTCAAATGCCCATAATGAAAGCTTACCTGATCAATGTCCTCGCAGATAGCAAGTTCCTCATGGCCATAAGGATACCTGTAAAACAGATCATCCATCAGAGGAACTGACAATAGAATTATCCTGATCAGGATTATAAGATTGTTGAATGCTTACAATAAACCGAAACTCGAATACAGCTTTCGTCGGTCATCACGAGTCAACTCTGTGCCAATACTGCAAAAAATAAACCCTAAGAAAGATGAAAATTTTACATCCACTTTAACCAATCAACAGAAAATGTGCAGACATGTAGAAAATAAGATTAATAAGATTTTTAACTAGCACATAGAAGGAGATAACAGATTCATAATATACAATTACAAGATTAACTTCACTCATCACCAATATGAAGATAGCTAACACATGATCCCACATCTAAACACGAGCTATTAAAACTCACCTATTTATGGTAATATTGACAGCTCTTCTATCAGCTTCAAACGCAAGGAGGTCAGACATGATCTCAGCAGTAGCACCACCTAGTTTCTGTTTACAACAGCACACATAAACCAAGTTAACAAGTTTGATGGTAATTTCTAATTTTGTACAAACAATTGGACTAAGCGTACCTGACAGAATTTGTAGAAGTCCTCAAGATAGGCTTTGTAGAGAGTGTTTCTCATAATTTCAATATTCATGTCATCCAAATCCTAGAAAGACCACCAAGTACAACAGTATTAAATAAACAGACATACAAAAGAGACTTTACTAAGACGATTATATTCCAATATTGTATTTTTAAAGTCAAATAAGTTTAAAACACTATGGCATGCCATGATAAAAATAGCCTCCAAGTTAGCAATGAAAAGGCGAGTAGTTAGCCATAACGGGTAGGAACGGGACTCATTACACTATGGTTATGCCATGATAAAAATAGCCTCCAAGTATTTTTTTTCATGTCTTCAAAACGTTTTTTTTTATTGTTTAATAATATTAAGTATATCCCCATCCTTTAATCAATAAAAAATATATCTAATGCTACAGCAAACCAAGTGAAATATTCATGTAGCAAGTAGCAGAGAAAAGGCGAGTAGTTGGCCAGTACCTCTGAAGTAATGCACTCCGAGAAATATGGAGCCAATGGTGTATCAATAAGTACTAGCCTGTAAAGCTCACGCATGTTTTGGGCAACTGCAAGGGTTGCAATACTGAAAAGAGAAAAAAAAAGTAAGACCTTAAAACTCTCCTGAACAACACTGGAAATAATAGTTAGAATATGCCAAAAGATACATGATAAACTACCTATCAAACATGCCCAGGGGATGGCATTTCTCAAGTAGCTCTTGAACATCCCTTTCATGCAAGGTTCCAGTTACAATTAGGACAACATTATCGATCATGTATCCGTAGCTGCAAAGAAGAACAGTTAAAAAACCAAAACCCCAGGTATGAACCACCTTCTTAACTAGTTAACTATCTTTAAAATGTGATAATCAAGTAAAATGCGAGATATAAATCGTAGATATAAACTTCAAAACCTACGTAATATATTCCAAAAAGGTCGATAGCGGCTCTGTGGCTTGGCACAGCATATGCTTGTACTCATCAACCAGTTTCAGAGTACATTTCTCCACAATAGTCGTCGTATGCAAGGGAGAAGGTTCTGCAATAAGTCAACATTTCCGTTCACGGTCGAAACAAAATAACAAAAGAACATATGCAGAGGACATTTTTAACATGGATTTTGCTAGAAGCCCCTACAGGGTTTAGTAATAGGAAAGTACCACACAACAATTAAGATATTTGATTAAATATCATAAATTTCCAGTTCAAGCAGATCTCAAGCTTTCAAGCTAAACAATCACTTGATCTTGGAAGTAAACAAGAATTTCGGAGGGATTTTGGATTGGATTGCTCACCATTCTGAAGGTAAGGGCCGTACTCAGTAGCAGAGAGGTGCATCTTGATGTCGTCTAGGGTTTCGCACTGGCAAAGATTGTTGTAGTCGGCAGCGGTGAGAAGTCCAGATCTGTGCCCTCGAACGATCGCCTCCAGGTATCCGCCATGGATGTTGAACGTCATCGCTTCGAATCCGTACATCGTGATGAGTTTATTAGATCTCAGATCCGATCGAAGAAAAGACTGCAGATCGAAAAAGAAACTGGCTGAGATCTGGAAACCCTAGAAGAGGGGCGAGAGAGAAGGTAAAGATAGAGAGGATGAGGATGAACGGCTCGAGATGAGATTCGCTCGACGGAGATTGGAGACACCTGTGCGTTTATTTATTTATTATAGTTCTTGTGCACGTGCAATGCATACACGTAGTTAAATATCAAATTTATTTTTTATTTTTTGGTTTATTTTTTTCTTAGTATTATAAAATAAGTCTGATTCATTTTGAGCTAAAATCTATAAACATGTATTATTACATTTGTCATAAATTTTAGGAAAAAATGTTTTAAGGCCCTAAAATAATAAAGCTGTTGTGACCAGCCCCCCCTAATTATTTTTTGGGTGACAAAGCCCCACATATAACATCCACATGTGTTTCAGCCCCCATTTAGATTTCCAACGCAGCACAGTGACAAATATTTGTTCAAAACCCAAAATTGCTCTTTAACTCATTTCCTGTCTGCCCTCTCTTTCTCTCCTCTCTCCTCTCTTCTCACGCTCAAGCCTGTCCGTCGGAGATACCTTTCCGTCGCCGCTGGCCGCCGTTCCTCTCCGACAAATACCTCCGCGAAGGTCGACCCCAAGATCCAGGCCCTCCCTCTCCCCATTGGGAGACTGCAAACGAGTTGCAGGTGTTCGACGTGAGGCCTTAAGGAGAATCACTGACAGGAAGATGCGAGAGAGGGCTTCCGAGGCGAGCCGGGGCAGCGTTGTTGGAAGGGTCGTTACGGAGCAGTTGTGGCACTGGTGATGGGCGCTAGCAGGGAAGGGGGTGGTCGGCTGTAGTGATGCAAGGTTAGTTGGCACCAAGATGAAGGAATTGGACTGCAGTACGACACATCATCAAGCAATTGGCACGCAGCAGATGTTTGAGCTTTCGTTGAGAGGAAAAGAGGAGAAAGAGTAGAATTGTGCCAGGGGGTTTGTGCGTTGGCCTGCGTGGGAGGAAGCTGGAGCAAATAGATGTGATGGGGTTTGGGTGATGAGGTGCAGGTTGACGGGTGTGGAGTGGGGGCCTGGACGCAGGTTGACGGGTGTGCAGCGGGGGGTTTGGACGCAAGTTAAGTGGGTGCGCAGTGGTGGCGGGGTGTTTGTGTCAAAAGTTACATTTTCCATTGTTTTCAAACCTGTTACACCGTTTATCGATTACAAGTTCAAACTGAAAGAAAAGTTGATCTTTTTATAAGATCTTCTTACAACAAGAAATAAAGATTACAACTTTATCAAACAAAACGCAGCAGTAGTTTATCTCCCGCTACTTTGCGTGGGATCTTTGTCTGTGCTAGGGACGCGTTAGTCCGTGGACCACCGCAGATCAACCCGATAGACAATATAATTACGCTCTTGTTTCACAAAGGAAACAATTGCGGAAGCGACAATCACGACCAAGCGAGATTGTGGCTCTTCTCGAGATTAAAACCAAGTTTAATCCGGAGGAAAGAATGGGAAAGAATCACAAACCTTTCGAAGGGGCTTTCTTTATGAAAGTATTCGCCAAGCTCTGATAATTCTCCTCTGAAATTCGTGGTTAACTGGACAATTTGACAGCATCTCGCCTTCTCAATCTCCGATACTCTTTAAAGAAGACCCTAGGCTTCTATTTATAGGCTTTGGAGATATCCTTTTGAATAAGAATTTGTGTTTAAATGTCATCTGCAGCTTATAACCGTCTAAACGTGTTTAGAGATAACCTCAAAACAGTTGGAGAAGTTCTGGGACGAAAGAATCCTTAAAAATCATCGAAATCCGTGTTTGGGGGAGGTTTTGTACTCAATAAGAGTCCTGGTGGCTCGGAACTGTGCGAGTCACCATTTGATGGCTCGGAACTATGTGAGTCACCATTTGGTGAACTCGCATAGGTGCGAGCCACCATTTGGTGGCTCGCATAGGTGCGAGCCACCATTTGGTGACTCGCGCCTACACGGGCCTCCAAGTGGTGTTTTGTTCGCTTTTTTGATACTTTGGCGCTTTGTGACTCTTCCAGTTCCCTTGTTTTACGTACACTTCATCGTTTTGATAGCTTGTGCATTCTACTGATCCATTTCATACACTTACTGATGTTGGATAAATTCCCTTGACTTGGATAATAACGTTTATCGTCTTTTCCTTGTCTTGAACTGTGTTTAAGGATTTATAGGCAATTTTTAACCCCTACAGATACCCCCTCCAAAGTGTTTCAGTCTCGTTTCTTTTATAGAAGAGCCTGAAATACTTTGGATGTGATAAACCCTATCTGCAGAAAGACATGTAATGGGCTTCATCTCTTGACTCATTCATCCTTCAATCTATTCAGCGTTCTGTCGGATAGATGAAGTTTTAACGGTTCTGCGTTTATCGTCTGACCGCTGTTGTAGTCTTGAATTGAAACCAAATGGTGTCGTTGAGCTGACTATCTTTGTTGGGAATTCATATTCGACGACGCATTGAAGCGGAGAGAACCAGTTTATACTCGTATACTCTTAGGAGTTCACCGAGTAATCCTTAAGAATATTTTGCACAATATTCTCCAGAAACTTCCCGTCAAGGGTGGGGAAATAGTTTAAACTCGTATACCCATTGGAGTATGAATATGGATACTGTATATGTTGGAAATGATCACTGAGGGACCAAAACACCCAAAAATTGGCCCAAACAGCTCGCTATACATGCGAGCCAGCGAATGGTGGCTCGCATGTATGGTGGCTCGCACGTGTGCGAGCCAGCAAATGGTGGCTCGCATGTGTGCGAGACAGCAAATGGGGGTTGAGGTGTTGTGAGACAGCTAATGGTGGCTCGGGTTTTTGCGAGTCAGCTGGTGGTGACTCGGGTTTTGCGAGCCAGCTTCGGGCGGTACTTAAAAAAACCGACTGTTCTTCTTCTTCAGTCGTTTCGAAATTTTCCTCTGTTCGAAAATTCCTCTATTCCCTCCTTTTTTTTCTCTTTAAGTCTTCCTCGACCTCTTCAAGCCCTTTTCACAAGTTCTTGGGAGCCAGGCTAGAACTTTGAAGCTTCAATTTAGGGATTTAGGGTTCTTCATTTGAATCTTGAAGAAGATTTGCGACGTGGGTTCGAGTCTCTGTTTTTGATCAGGTCTCAGGTATGTTTCAGCCCTTGGAACTTTAATTCGAATCCCCGTACTTAATTGAACTATGGTTTTAAGCATATACCCGAAACCCTAGCTTTTGTGATTTGGGGGGAAACACAAAGACCGATTTCAAGTTCTTGTGTGATGGCCGACCACTTGGGGGTTCAGTTTTGGGTTTACCTGCTCTAATAATTCAGATGTGTGGCCGACATTAATTCTTGACTTTGGGTTCTTGAATCTTGATCTTTGAATTCGGTTGTGGATGAAAACCCAAAATGTAGGTTTTAAACTTGGGTAATGACCGAATACCTAGTGTTGAGCTGTGACTGATTCCAAACTTTAATCCGGAATCATAATTTCACGTGTAGTCATGGCTGTAGATTTTGTTTTGTTTGCATGCACGGATTTGGTCAAGCTAAGGTTTAACACCTTTGGACTTTTAATTGTGTAGAGTAACTGTTATATCGGACTTATAGGCACGTCGTGGTTTATTGTTGGCCCCGTAGATGACTTTAGCCAAATCCCTAAAATTCTGGCTTAATTTGTTGCATGATGTGTCGTGGGTTGAAACTGTATCGGTATCGAGCCTACTACTTAAATCTGACCGGAGCACCATCTTCCCTTGCATTAATCTGATATTTCTCTATTTTCATTGTAATTGACCTGTTAATTCTCTGCAGATATGCCACCCAAGAGATCACACGTAGTTCGAGGCCATTCAGCGGCTCAGTCGCCCGAGCCGGCACCGTTCAGCTGCACAGGTATATCATAACCACCTCTTTTATTCCTGAGTTAAATATCGAGATATCATACTGCATGTTGCATCCCCGCTTTGTTCTCCTTGGTGAGGCAATTGGGAAGAGCCGCCACCCTCCTTCGTGGGGGTGGACGCTTTACAAGTCGTGTTTTGCTTGGTCAAGACATGACTGAATTATCTCGGGGCGATTTCTTGTCATACTATACTCCGAAGGATAGGTATATTGTTGCATTATTCGTGCGACTATATATTTCAAACTTCGTGTGTATAGTGCGGCACTTAATCGTCTCGCCTAGATAATCCATCGTGAATATGTCGTTGGTATAACTTCCTCGTTTTGCTCTCTTTTGCGGGGCGAAGGCCGTGACTCTATCTCACAATTTGTGAGTCGAGTTCGACCCTCGTTTTGCTCTCTTTTGCGGGGCGAAGGCCGTGACTCTATCTCACAATTTGTGAGTCGAGTTCGACGCCTATACTTTTTTTTTAACATAGGCATTTATGGTTAAACTTGATAATCACCTATTTTTTTCAGTTGAATTTCTTTCGAGGGAGTTTAGCGCTCATTCAATAAAGGGCCGTTGCAGTGAGGCTTATGCCTCTACTGATGAGCTAATCCCTGTTCCGGTGACTCCTCAGTTTGCTCCGGGTGTCCCCGAAGAGCTTCCACGATTAATACGGAAAGGAGAGCGCCCTAGTTTACGACAACTTATCACGGATGCACCGTTGGTGAATGACCCAAGTTCTACGCACCCACTACGAAAGACAGATTATTTGTTTGGGGATTCCATAGAAGATCCCGCCGTTGTTTTTCTTGGAATGGAGCAGTGGCTGCATCACGACGACGGTGGCCATCTCTACCTTCCTCCGGTTCCTCGCCACCGTTCACTTACCGAGCTCCGGTGTCAAGCTGTCCCTCGGGAGATGTCATGGAGATTAACGGAAGAACATGAGCGCATTCACTGTAGCTACATTACTCGTGGCACGGTTGGCTCAAGTAATCGGAATCGGATAATGGGGCTACATCCGGGGATTACAGGATTGAATGACCCACCCAAAGGCGAGATCTTCACTGTCGCAAACACTGTGAAGAATCGGCTTGCGGCTTTGGGCCGAGAAATGCCAGCGACCGGTCATCGATGTTATGGCTGGATACACTCGTCAGATAAACTATGGTGGACCCGTTTGAGCCACTACATCTTAGATTGATTTTGCGATGATTTGAAGGCTGGTGGTCTATATGCAGCCGTTCGTGCCACCACCTACGGAC